AAGATTGATGATCTTACACTCAGTGGGTTGTTTTAAGGGCTTGAGAAAAAAAAGAATTAAGTTAAGTGCAAGATTCTATATTTACAAAGCATAGGAATGAAATATGTTAAAATTGTCTAGTGGAGCTGACAAAAAGTACATTAGAGTGAGTGGTAACCTGGTACAAGTGGATTCCAGAATATTAGCAATGCTCTGATGTTACATTTCTGTCATATATATATATATATATATATATATATATATATATATATATATATATATATATATATATATATATATATATATATATATATATATATATACATATATATATATTACATATATATATATATATAATATAATATATATATATATACATATATATATATTATATATATATTATATATATATATATATATATATATTATATATATATATACTATATTATGTACATTTCTGACAATTTCTTATGAGAAATAATAGCATTCATTAAATAGTCTTTATTAAATCTGTCATGATTGTTTTCATAGAAGATTATTTGTATTATCATGTCTTCTTACTAAATACTTTAAAATCTGTATATCGATACCTAAGCAGCATAAAATTGGAAATGTATTTACTTAACAAAAAACAAAAATCTGTGAATTATCTCATTTCAACCCACCAGTGGGTCTCATTTCAAAGTAAAATGATGCATCATAACTCACCAGAGGGTTACAAAGCACAGAAGATGTTAAGGTACCTGTAGTCTTTTAGAAGTAAATTGCTCAAAAATATTTTAAGCCACAGTTTGTTGAACAGACAGTGGCTGAGGCAGAGGCTGTGGCAACAACAATTTCCTGCTCAGCAATTTATGTGTATGTGTGGCTGTGATCCATGTTTGAAAAAAGGCTGTAGGTACAGTTGAGATCAGTTTTGCTTAATGGAGAGCTATGGCTGAATTCTTGAGTGAGATCTCAACTGTACATAACGGACTCCTGTTCTTCAGCAAGATCAGTTCAATTAGGTTCAGCTGGATAATTTAGACAGTATATACAGGCTATGGCTTGTACTTTTTAAGATGAAAAGAAGCCAAGAATAAGGTTCAGGAACAGAAATACATGTCAATATGAAGATTAACCAATTTTTATCAAAGTATTTATATATTGTTATTATTCCTATTATCATCATCATTGATGCCATTATGACCATAGTCATCATCACAATGATTATCTCAATCATCATCATTATTATTGTTATTATTGTTGTTGTTTTATTATTATTATTATATTATTATTTTATTATTATTATTATTATTATTATTATTATTATTATTATCATTATCATTATTACCATCATTATCATCATTATTATTATATCATCATCACATTCATCATCATCATCATCATCATCATCATTAATATAATCATAACTGTGATGGTAATCAGTACAATTATGATAATTACTTTTACCTTTGTCCTTATCACTGTTATTTTCATAGTTATTATTTTTGTCAGGAAACAGACAGACAGATAGCTAGATAGGCAGACAGACAGTCAGATAGCTAGACAGACAGACAGAGAGACAAACAGACAAGAAGGACAAACACAGAGACAGACTGCCAAAGAAACAGGAACAGAGACATAGACAAACAGACAGACAGACAGAGACAGAGAACTTGACTAAGGCACAAAAATAAAAAAACATCTTAACAATCCAGCATTTCAATATAGAATATTGGATACAGTATAGTGTTTATACTCTGAGAATTGTTTTTTAAGCCTCTTTCCTTCATATGATATATAGCACTGCTTTGTGTTTATGTAATGTGAGTAAAAAAATATCATGTTATTGGCTTTGAAAAGAAATTTTAAGAAAGTGAGAGTAGCATTCTGTGATTTTGATTTACAAGCAATGATAATCACAGATGCCGACTGTCTCAATAATTTTTTTTCCCAGCAGCAACAGGCTATGCAGGTGGACTTATTTGGCAAATTATGTTTATTTACATCCTTGACTCTGTAGGTCACCTTTTCATTGTAACTTTTGTAAACGCAGGAGTGCTTTCAAAATATCTGTTAAAAATATAAGCAGAAAAAACTTGACCTTTAGATTTGACAGCACCACCTGTTGATGTCACAAGGAACAATGATTGCTGCATTCCCAAGCCCCGGAGCTTTCATTTTCCTTTCATTCCAGTTTCATTTTGGTTGCATTGCAATGAACTGTAGTCTATCCTATTCATATAATTCATACATTTTCCAGAAAACATTTCCCATACAGTATAAGGTAAACAGTATGTGGAATCAGTGAATTTTAAGACATTTTTCTTGTGTAATGTATCCATTATATATTCAGTGAAAGAAAATATTTTGTATTAATAACTAACCGGTTAGTTGCAATGACTAATGCCTTTGTCTTTACACATTTATGGTATTTACAACAAATAATCTAAAAAAATAAAAAGGAGCTTGGACTGGGAGGTCTATGAGTGTTGCATGATTCATGGGAACACAATTTCACCGTTGGTATGGCACTGGCATTACTTAGGATGGATTTAATTAATGAGGGTATTTTGGTACACATAGGTGAGATATGTTGATATAAGCTACAACATTGATTGGCTGATATGTACATATTGAATAAGTTTGTATATATTGTTCTGAGGCAGATTGTCATATATGAAAAGTGTTATAGAATTTACTGAATTATTAATTGTATATACTTCTTACCTTGTACTTGAAGTATGGCAGGCTGAAACAAAAATATGACCATTAATTCAGTTTGTATTACTGATAATATTTATGACTTATTAGTACAATGCCATTTATATCAAGTACTATAGTATCCAATGTATAGAAGAGCTACCGAAGGTGAAAAGGATAGCTGTGCTTATGGTTCTGAACATTTCATGGTAGTCCTAGTCTATCTTTTTTCCCAAAGAAATAAAACTCTTCAAGATGTAGTTTTTTTTTTTTTTTTTTTTTTAGCTGAAATAGCATACTAGAAAGAAAAAAGGGTTTCCTTGAAAGGTCAGAGAATATTCAATTGCTAGTCATCATTTGTATTGCATTACTAATTGCTGTCCCACAAACTGTTACAGCAGACAAAAAAAAAGATGTTTTAATCTTATTCCATTTTTGCAATAAGAACAATGAAATATCTTACTGCTGGTTTTAATCAGAGGTGGAGGTATATGATCTACTTTTTCCCCTTTTTCTTCTTTCCTCTCCTCCACCTTCTGACTGGACCTAAACCATGGTAATTCAGTGATATATGGTCTTGAAGTTGTAAGTTTTCCATTTTTCCAAGCTTTGAAGGTGACTGAAGCATTTGGTAGGCTATATTTTTAATTGTATCGAGCTAATAATCATTCCTGTTTGCAAGGACTTCCTGTTTGTCTTTGTAATAATAATAATTTAGTAAAGTACTGGCATTTGCTTTTATTTATGGATGAGTAAGAGACTTTGGGATTTCTTTCCCTATTGAAAATTTTCCTTCGAATTTACAGAACTCCTGTCTGTCATGCTTTATATATCCTTATTAAGGAAATGTATGTGTCCTTTTGTTTACACAATAATTTCACACACACACACAACCACACCACCACACACACCACACCACACAACACCACACACACCACAACACACACACACCACCACACAACACACACACACACACCACACACACACACACACACACACACAACACACAACACACACACCACACACACACACACACACACACACACACACACACCACACACAACACACACACACACACACACATACACACACACACACCACACACACCACACCACATACACACACACACCACACACACCCACACACACCCACACCCACACCCACACCACACACACACACCACAACACACACACCAACACACACCACACCACACACAAACCACCACACACACACACACCACACCACCACACAACACACCACACACCCACACCACACAACACAACCACACACACACACACACACACACACACAACACACACACACACACACACATACACACCACACACACACACACACAGACAAAAACAGGGTTGCAACTTACAGATTGACAACTATTGTAATTAATTTCTCAAGAGCAATTGACTGTTGAATGATGTATATGTAGGGGTATAAATTTTAGATACTGAAAAGGGTAATCGTTTTCTAAAAGGGAAAAAGATATGAGAGGTTGACACCACTTTATTGATTCAGCTTTTTTAACCCATAGTGGCCTGTCCATGTTTAAAGGATAACCAGGTCAGACAACATTATCCTCTTGGAATAGTATGGTGTTGAGTTGATACAATTTGTCTTGGTTGAGAAGCAGCTGTCTATTTTGGAAATGTGGGTGAGTACACTTTCATCTCAATTGATGCAAGCTGCTAAACTGGGCATTTTTACTCAAATTATATCTTCCATGATATTTATAGCGGTAATATAAACTTTATATGAAAAGTCATTATGAAATACTATTCTTTGGTGGTGACTTGGTTTCAGTATGTCTTGGTGAAGAAGCAAATGCTTGTTGAGAATCTCACAGGCTCTGGTGAAACACAATTACTATATTTCCATCTTTCTTATGGGCTAATTTCTGAACTGTTTATCTAGATCTTGCAAACAATTTATTATTATAGGGAATTAACCCTCTGGAACTGAGTAGTTTTGAGTTGCAGGAAATGGTACATCTGTGGTATTCATCTCTGTGACTTCAAGGTCCTCAAAAAAGGATCTCATATTTCATAACAGATCCAGTGGCAATGGCTAATGTCCAACATCTCCAAAGGAGAAAATAACATTAGGAAATTTTCATTAGAAATCTTCCCCAACGAATAACCCTTCCATGTTGATACTCCAGTTTAAGGTAGCAGGTGAACCATAGTTAATATGTTACAAGGGTTCTAATAGGTTCAGACCGCACAAGTCAGGAAACTCAGAATTACTGCCATGGTGATCATGAGGGTGTCATCAGGTACTAGGTGTTCATACATTTTATTTATTTGCTTTTTCTTTCTTTTGCAGGTATATTCAAGTAACAGCTGACCATCAGAAGAAGTTCATATATACCATCAGACATGATCGTGGTGTCAAGCCAGGCCATATGGGCTTCAATGCTATCCAGCGGAAACAAGCATTACTTTCACTGGATCAGGAGGTATACTGGATCTTTAATACTGCATGCATTAAAATATAGAATTGATATTCTTTGCTCCTTTAAAAGTGGATGTATAGGATATTCAGTTTTGTATTTACAGTACTGAAAAATAAGATATATGTAGTGTGTATCCATTGTTTGTTCTAAAATATTTCACCAAGTGTCTGCCTCTTTATAGGAATGATAAGTCATCAGATTTATTAATAAGAAAGAAAAGAAACAGTAGAATTTGAGGAAGTGGTTTGGAATTCTGTATTATCACACTGATGAAGATACTGTAAAAGACTTTCTTTAAAACCCTGACACAGTTTTAACTATGTCTAAGTCTGTTCAGTGTATTCAGGAAGGCAGAAATTAAAAAAGATAATAATGACCTTACAAACAGATCCAAGTGGAGGCATATGTCCATGATCCTCAAAAGCAGCTGATTGGAACCCTGGTTTTGGAGGCTGACTTCCTTCAGAAGAAGAGCACCACCAATGAACCTTACAACACAGACCAGATGGCTGCTTCCTTCATGGAGCAGTTCCCACGTCATGGGTTTACTGTCGACCAACCACTGGTATTCAAGTTCCAAGACAAGAAGACACTCTCCATCATTGTCAAGGAGATTGAAGGTTAGTTTTGACAGATAAGGCTGGGTGAATAAAGAAGCTACAGTGGTCTTGTAATTTTGGAGATGATTTCTGTTAATAATGAGAGTAAATAGATGAGGTCTTTTTGTTTTTCACTACAATTGTAAGGAGTGTGTGTGGATATCATTACCATCATACTTTATAGACATTTTTAATGGGCAACTATTATTTACTATGAATATTAAAGAAGTGGCACTGAACCCTGTACTCTGTTAGCTAATTCAAAGTCATGCAGAGGTGACCACTTTTGATATATAAATGAGAAAGTCATGCTTAGTAATTTTATGTAGTGTCATTATCATGATTCTTTGCATAATATATTTGTGGGACATATTTCAACCTATGCATTTTACCGAGCCCCCACAAATCGTTTTACTTATAGTATACAATAAGATCAAATGTATCTGTAATAGTAGTCTTCTCTAGTGTTAAAAATGTCATTCTTGAAGAATATTCTGCATTTGTTATATGTGATTGTTATACTTGTTATATTTGTGAATATATAATTTATTTTATTTTGAATATATTGTAGAGCTATGGGTACCCTCATATGCCTCAGTTGTACTCTCTCTCAAGTTGAAAATTATATAGAAATCCTACACTAACAGTGCTAATATTTGTACTGTTATTTTCATTTGATACATCAAGTTGATTATTATATTTGAGATATGATATAATGCATTTGATATTGAGAAAGGTAAATAACTGACCTAGGTTTGGTTGTATGTGGCAGAAGAAAGAAAATGTATTATAGACCACAACACAAGATAGATTTCAACAGATCAAAGAGAAGAAACCATAGATGTGATCAGTCAGCCTTTATATTTTGTATAGTTTGTTTCATGGTAAATGGAGAGGAGAATCTTAGAATGGATGTAATCAGGTATTGTAGAGGTCAAGTCTAGTGCATTAGAATGGATGGAAGTACTCTGAGATAACTGGAGACAGTGTCCTTAATGTTACTGACCTTCTCTTTCAGCTGCGGATCCAGAGGCCGTGGCATCTGGGAAGAAGAGGGAGCCAAAGAAGATCCACTTTGGAGTCCTCCAGGCTAATTCAAGCATCATTTTTGAAAAGAGTGAAGGATCTTTCTTGATCCTCACAGGAAAAGCAAAAGTAAGCAGATAACTTTCGTCTGATGTTGGTGATGAAATAGTAATAAGTTGTCCTATCATTGGTTATTGAGGATGGGTGCAGTATAAGCATATAAACTTGTTCCTTCAGCCCACCCCAAGGACTGAATTCTACATATTTACTGATTAATAACTGAAGCATACTGTTTTTAACCTTTTCAAGTACTTGATAGTTCTACAGACTAAGGTTATAGCTTTCTTGTGCCAGCAATTTCTGCGATGTTATTTCAGAATTTATTCTCTCAAATATTTGTGAAGGTTTTTCAATCAGATCCCATTTTACATCATTGCCAGTTACCTTGTAGATTGGAAGCATAATGGTAGCTAAGCTTTTCACGAACATGCTTAAGAATGTTACTATTCCTCAAAATTATTTTTAGTTGTTTGGGACTCCAGCTAATCTCCATATCCCTAACCTTTTCATCTGTTTTGTGGATTCCATTCCTGTCAATTTTTATTCTGAAATATTTCAAAAAAGAAACTTGAGGATCACATGTGTCTGTACTCTTTCATTCTGTTCTATTTGATGTAGTCTTGTACGAGAACATGCAGCTCAGATGTTCTTTTCCCACCACATATTATCTACAAAACCGTTGGCTCCATGAGCTGCACTAAATATCTTGTTGCTTGTCTGTTATCTTAAAACAGAAATAGAGGCACTGGGGCTGTGATACCACTCACACCCATGCCAGCAATCAGCAGCTCAACCTGTAACAACTGTTAAAAGCACTCTCTAATGCTTTGCCACTGTTTGAGGAACTGAGATGACTATGCCATCTGCTAAATGAATAGCAAAGATGTATGGGAGGGGTTGGCATTCAGTTTACTCAGGGTTTGATATACAGGACATAGAAACACCAGGGCAAGATGGAATGGCTAAGGAGAAATGAGACATAAGAATTACTGTATGTTCATGAATTGCACATTGATCTGCCTTTTGTGGATGCATAGACTCCAATTAGTTTAGTCACCTCAGAGAATGAAGCTGGTTTAATTAGATATTGCACAGGAAATATAATGTAACTGAAGAAAGAATATTGCAACTGAGGAAAGGGTACACATACATACGTACATACATATATACACACAAACACATAAAAAAACACAAATGCACATAGAACCACATAAACACACATACAATACCCTTTCTAACAAATATCACCTATAAAGATAGACTATAGAAAATAGGACATTCTACTTTGGATGAAAGAAGGAGAAGGAGCAATGTGATTAAGCTTTTCCAAACATGGAAAACATCTTCCAAATAACATGGTGTGTGCCAAATGTGCATACCTTTAGATAAAGCAGACAGTACCCTCTAAGCTTAGCTCTTCCCCTATATTGAAACGACTAGATAAGAATGCATACATACATGCATGTATATTCATGTAACTTTTTAGAGCTTAAAGTTCCTTATTTCCATACCACTTTCCTTTCACAGGCGCGAACAACCCACACAAGCCTGTTCTCAGCTGACTGGGACTTCCAGAAGATGGGCATAGGTGGTTTGGATGAACAGTTTGTCCAGATTTTGAGGAGAGCATTTGCATCAAGGGTTTTCCCACCAGAAGTTGTTGAACAGTTGGGTGTCAAGCACGTAAAGGGCATCTTGCTTTATGGACCACCAGGTAAAAAAGAAAGAAAATTAAAACAATATAGATAAAGAATAGCAATATGTGATCAAAATTTGTTTTAATCTTTTTCATATAGTATGAAATGTAGTAGCAATATTTGTTCAATATTTGTTCTTGAAATATGTCCATGTTATATGTTTTTTATATTACCTCCCACTCTTTCAGGTACTGGAAAAACTTTGATGGCACGTCAAATCGGAAAAATGTTGAATGCACGTGAACCAAAGATTGTTAATGGCCCTGAAATTCTGGACAAGTATGTAGGAGAATCAGAGGCTAATGTACGACGTCTCTTTGCTGAGGCAGAGGAAGAGGAGAAGCGAATGGGCCCCAATTCTGGTCTTCACATCATTATCTTTGATGAGATTGATGCTATTTGTAAGCAGAGAGGATCAGTTGCAGGCAATACTGGTGTAAACGATACTGTGGTTAACCAGCTTTTGTCCAAGATTGATGGTGTTGAACAGCTGAACAACATTTTGGTTATTGGAATGACCAACAGAAAGGACATGATTGATGAGGCCCTGTTGAGACCTGGCAGATTGGAGATCCAGGTAGAAATCAGTCTGCCTGATGAGCAAGGCCGCTGTGACATCCTTAAGATCAAAACTGCTAAGATGCGAGAGCACAACAAATTGGATCGCGATGTAGACCTCGCAGAGGTTGCTTCTCTCACCAAGAACTTCTCTGGAGCAGAACTGGAGGGTTTGGTGAAAGCAGCCTCATCATCAGCTCTGAAGAGATATATTCACCTGGGGAACAAGATTGAAGTGGATCCAAATGCCATTGACAAGCTGAAGATCACAAGAAGTGACTTCATTTACTCTCTAGAGAATGACGTGAAGCCATCATTAGGGACCAGTGATGATGCCCTGGCCAAGTATATTGAAAGAGGAATCATTAACTGGGGAGCTACAAGGGAACTAGTGGAAAAAGGTTTGATGTTTGTAAAGCAAGCCAGATCCCCAGAAACAAGCAATCGCTTGTGTCTTCTTTTGGAGGGAGCACCAACTGCTGGAACATCAGCACTGGCAGCTTACATGGCCAAAAATTCTGACTTCCCCTTCATCAAGGTTATTGACTCGCGTGAAATGGTTGGTTTCATGGAGTCTTCAAAATGTCTTCGTATCAGCAGGATTTTTGATGATGCTTACCGCTCTGAGTTAAGCTGCATATTCTTGAATGATCTAGAACATCTCATGGGTTACTCACCCATTGGCCCAAGATACCAGAGTCTTGTACTTGATGCCATGTACTCCCTTCTCTCTGCTTCTCCACCGAAGGGCCGAAAATTGCTTGTCATCTGTACTTCAAAACGAAGAGCAGTCCTTGAAGAACTGGGTCTCCTGTCAGCATTTACAGCTGTCATCAGAGTCCCATACATTGCACATCAGGAGGATATCAGACTAGTGCTTGAAGAATCAGGTGCTTTGTCTTCTGAAGAAGTAAGTGTAGATGCATTGGAATAATTATTGAGGACGAATATAGTTGAGAAGGGGAAAATATCATGATGTAGATTTAAAGTCAGTATAAGTACATGATTGACTTCCCTATTTTATGCATTAGAATAGGGAGTTTAGAGCTCAGGTCAGCTATTGTTATTTATTTTTTCCCCCATATCCCTACCATTCCTGCTCCCTTTGTTATTTCATAATTTTAAGCATTATTGCTGATTATTGTTTTTCCTTCAACAATGAATCCTTTTTTACAGATTGAAGCAGTCATGGCCCACATCAGCAATGGCCGGGTCTTTGTTGGGGTGAAGAAGTTACTTGGTCTCCTGGACACTATGCGTGTTATGAAAGGAGTGGATTCACGCAAGAGAGTTGTCGCATTTGTTGATTTGCTGGAGGATGAAGGTGTTTTCACCCCAGAGCTTTGAAAACATAAACATTGGAAGAACTGGGTAGGTCAGAGACAGATTATGAGGATAAAACGAAAATTACTAAAAATAAGGAAAATTATTTGATAGATTAGTAAGTGTTGAAAGATAGAGGATTAGATTTAGATATCTGATTGGTAAAATGAAGTGAAAAGGGAAAAGATCCTGCTGATTTAAAAGTATTTGGTTTGTGCAGTGATATCCATCTATTTTGTTATTTAATTTTTCATAGATATAGAATATATTGTCTCAGTGTTTATAATGTCTTTTACAAATAAAGATTGTGACTGAGATGATAATCTAAACTGCTTTACCATTGATATATATATGTCATGTATTTTTCTCAGTTATTTTGTGTATTTTAGATATTAAAATTGATGCCAATCTTTGTCCAGAGAAAAGCCTTGTAGAATCTGTTTATACTTATTAATTCACCTTTTTCTACAGATCAGATGACCATTTTGAAATTTCTGTTTATACCAAAGAATCATTTCATTCTACCATATTTTCTCTTAATAAGCTTGTTTTCTTTGTCAGGTGATTTTATTTATTGATATAAAATATTAAAAGATATA